ACATAACATAATGTGTCTAATTAAAATCGATTATGAGTGTGATTCGGCATCTATTTCTCAAGTACTATCATGCCTTCGTGACCAAAAGCATTAATTCCTTTACAATACACCAATAATATTACAAGTCATAACCTCATAAATAAACGTACTGCTAGGAATTAATAATTGCTTCAAATTTCCAAATTCACCGCATATCGATTTATTCGTTTATAATATTACCTGTCAAGTTACTAGGGGGGTATTATTATTAGGTCTTAACAAACGGTGCAGCAGCTTTAGATAAGCTCGCAAATGGTTGTATCTATAGATACCAGGTAAGTATCATACGGTCTAATTATGACCTGCCCGACGGGGGTGAAGGTATTACCGCCAGATTACTACAAAAGAATGCAAAAGGCATACAAATTATTGTTCATAAAATATCGGCTAACAACAATACACCAGTATTAAAAATTCCATAAGTTGAAAAGCTTTTCGGAAATTCTGAGTTCAAAGTCTTAGTACTTATTATAAACGGATTATAAGATGTAAGCTTGTTAGAAATTACAATAAAAGCTAAATATTTATTTAACGAAAGGTTACCTACACAACTAGATAATTGGAATACAATAGGAGGTATTATTAATAATGAGGAGGGGTTGTATCCCTGTATCGTACCTAAATATTTAAAAAGTTTGGAATATTAGGTATATAATTCTATACAATTGTCTTCTTTCCATTAAAAAGACATTGTGTGTTTAATTTCAATTTAAAGAGTTTAAATATTTGGCAGTAAGTTTGAATTGTACATCATTTAGATTAGTTAGAAGCTGGACAAATAAAAATTTGATCTGTATCTTGAAACCAAAAGGAGATCGATGTATCTATGCCATTTTGATAATTCATTTAATGCCAAGGCTTAATGGCAAGGCAGGTAGTTAACATTTAAAAATTAAAAAAATTGGGGGTACATGACATGTATTAAATGGGCCGGCCAATGGGAGCCCATCTATAAAGAGGTAGTGACAGAAAGTTTGGCTTTCCGTCATAATTTATGTAAAATATATAAATAATTGCATAGGTATATGATGTAAAAAACGTTTCTGAATGAAGATGAAGAAGATTTGGAGATGTAGATTCAGGGGACTTTATGAGTCAACTTTTTCACTATAATGGGAAAATATTCGAGATCGTTGATCGTTAGATTATCTCCCGTCGATGGGTCACGTTTGAAGTTAAGGAATTTGAAACAATTTAATAGGAATTAGAAAGCCGAGGGGAGGGCATTTACCCAAAATACAAAAATTAGCACGTAGTCCACAAGGAAAACAAGTTCGGGGACCATTACCATACACTGATCAACTCTTTCTGCATCTTGGAATTCTATAAAGCTTTACAACGATTATTTTATAAAGCTTTTCAGTAGGCATATGCAATAGATAAGAAGTGGGAACAAATATGCTTCGGACTCGAGCTTTAGAAAGAAAATGCTCCATTTTTTGGATTTAATTATAGAGGATATGGGTACCCTAAAGGTACTTAAGGCATTTGATTATTGTATAATTATCAAGTGTATAAGAGACCCTATTTGCTTAATAAAACAAGTAAATTCTGTATAAACGAAATCAAGTTTTTCCTTTCGATTATCGTATTTACAAAATCAATCGAAAAAGGTACCAATGTAGGTAAATAATTAACAAGTAAATGTACCTATTTGTATATGAGAAAAGGTAGACGTTTCTACATCTATTTTTAATTGGATAGGTACATCTAGTAGATATATATCTGGATATTCCGCCGGGAAGTAAATGCGTAATAGCGGAAAAGTTCGTAAAAGTCTTTATTGAAGCATAAAAGCATAATCACACCGAGCGAGCCATTCGCCCGCTTCGGTTATTAAGGCCCAGATTCGCCCATATATCTGCTTAATACGTCCCGACATGTACTAAAAGGTTATAAGCAGTATCTCGCGCTAAATTCGCTCCAAAGTACAGTAGACGTAAAGACAAAATGCGGCGGTGGCCAATCACCGCCCGTCGCACTACAGCCAACCAGATTCTTTTAAAGCGCCGCCTCCGAAAGCTGAGCTTAAAGACATGTACATCGTTCAAAACTGTTTCATTATCACCTTGAACGTTATAACCGATTGCAGCCGTTTGAGTGTGGAAACAAGTGTGGTTTTTGGAGTGCTTCTGAAGTGAAAAACGGAACAATTAAAAGTTGTTTATATTTTATCGGTTCGAAAATGTTTCAACAAGATCAGTCGAAAGCTGGCCCGATAGTGCTGGACGTCATTCCACCCCATTATAACATGCATCATCATCAAAGCCATCAAAGTCCCCCGCAATCGCCAAATAGCACTCAATCTATCAAAAAAGGTAATTTTTTTATATCCTTTCTTCAGCGAGTGACTGAAATTGTTTTCCCACAAGCGCCTGTTGGTGATACCAAAAACGAAAAAAAAATTAATACAATTTTTTTTATTGTTACAGATTCTCTATCGCCAATTCCTGGTGATACCAAGCTGAATTCTTCGGCCAGTCAAATTCATAACGATCCCAACATCAGAAGGTACAGGACGGCATTTACAAGGGAGCAACTGGCCCGGTTAGAAAAGGAATTCTACAAAGAAAATTACGTTTCTCGACCCCGTCGGTGTGAACTAGCTGCTCAACTGAATCTTCCCGAAAGCACCATCAAGGTAGGTGGTCAAAAACTATACTGTGGTTGATCTACTGATTTTCTTATTCTAATTTTCGTCATCTCTAATTCGGCAACGGGATCNTAATACAATTTTTTTTATTGTTTCAGATTCTCTATCGCCAATTCCTGGTGATACCAAGCTGAATTCTTCGGCCAGTCAAATTCATAACGATCCCAACATCAGAAGGTACAGGACGGCATTTACAAGGGAGCAACTGGCCCGGTTAGAAAAGGAATTCTACAAAGAAAATTATGTTTCCCGACCCCGTCGGTGTGAACTAGCTGCTCAACTGAATCTTCCCGAAAGCACCATCAAGGTAGGTGGTCAAAAACTATACTGTGGTTGATCTACTGATTTTCTTATTCTAATTTTCGTCATCTCTAATCCGGCAACGGGATCAATTTCGTTAACATCTAAACATATTAGGGATGTAGATAGAAATCACAAAAAGGCTTAGGTACTCATCCTTATGTCATGGATTTCTATTATTTTGATAACTATTGCGATAGTATCTAGGTATCAACTTGATGGCGTACTATATTTTTTGTATTAGTGATCTTCTATTAACTTTGAGAGTAATAGGTGTTGAACGTAACTTTTTTGCCGTATCATATCTGTGCAGATGTAATATAAGAGGAAGCACAGTTCGTTTTTTACATTGAAATAAATTTCTATCATGTAAAAGTACCTAGGTAGTACTTATTAAATTCAAACAATAATTTAAGTAAGGTTTGATTCATTGTTACATCTATAAAGAGGTAGTGACAGAAAGTTTGGCTTTCCGTCATAATTTATGTAAAATATATAAATAATTGCATAGGTATATGATGTAAAAAACGT